TGTTATAACAAGACTTTTACGTAACATTTTCATTGCAAATATCCTTTGTGTTGTACGTTCCCGGCATAGAACAACTTTACCGAATGTACCACGACCAAGTATTTTTAAATATTCAAAATCGTTTATTTGCTTTTCAAAATAAAAATAAAAAAATAAAAAAATAAAATTTATTTTCGATTATTTTCTTTCTTTTGTATTTTTTTGTTCTCTTACTGGTCGTCGTGCAAATACTTCATTCATTGATGGATATTCATTGTCTGTATGATCAACATCATCATCTGTAACCATTTTCATAGTTGGTAATTGCCGTTGTAAATGTGGTGTTGTTTGTCGATTAATTATTTCAATTGCTGCTATCCATTCTTCACTGAAATATATAAAAATTTATTAAGAAAAAAAGAAACAAGTATATATAGGATAGAGATGAATATTTACCGATCTTGATGACTACCAGCAGCAAATAATCTTTCAATTTTCATTTGATTGAAATGTATAACAAAAGCATTTTGTTTTATTTTATCTTGTCGAACAACACTACAATCAATAACCTGAAATTTATTGAGTGGTTCTTCTTGTTGATTATCATTAACAGCTGGTGATTTACGATAACCGTATAAATGACCATCATGAAACAGAAAAAAATAACGTGGACGCCAAGTTTTGATATGTTCACCTTAAGATAAAACATATCCATAAAAAACAAAATTTTCATAAAAAGTATACATGTCAAATTATCTCATTCTGACTCTATTCACTTCAATGTTATTTTTATTTATAAATACCTCGTTTATAGAGCCAACCGCATTTATAAGCTGGTAAACTACTAGTTATAAATTCTGTTGAACGACGCGGTTGACTTGAATTCTTAGTAACAGGTTGCATATTGTTACTATATTTATTTACTTATTATTCATATAAATCTAAAATAAATGTTTAGAACATAAACAATACTATCCTTTTATATATAGATGTGCCTTCTTTTTTTAATCAGTAAACTACAATCATTATGACAGAAACGAAAAAACATCTCAAGCTAGTTCACAACAGCATATGCCACTTGAAAATAAATGAAAACGAGTTGAATCACGTAAGTAAATATTTTTTTTAGAAACGAAAGAAAGGGAAATTTTTTTAAAATATTCATGACATTCATTACATATACGATGATTCTTTGCAATCAGGATTGGTAATGATGAAATTTTTTGTTCTTCTAATGCATTTTCAAGTGCTAATTTTTCTGTATGTTCACAATTTTCTAATTGTAAATTATTACTTTTGAAATATTCAATTTTTCCATTCGATTTTTCAAACCAAGAATATGATAACATATTTTTTAATTTATCATTTTCATATAATATTTCATCGATTGTTGTTAATCGATCATTTAAACCGCCATATGTATACATATTATTCATTAATAAATCATACAATGCTAATTGTTCATTTGTTATTACTATTGGATAATTAAATTTATCTATGGTTCCATTTATATTTGCTTTTATTGCATAGAATAAAATATTTTCTTTAGGTAATTTTTTTAATAATTCATTTACTTCATCAAATAATTGTGCTCGAATTAATGCAGCAATCATTGCTGATGTTAATATAGGTCCACGTTTATTTTCTTCAATATTGAAAAATATTCGTTTAACATCATTGATTTTATTTGGTGTTTGACTTAGTGTATGAAGAAGTATAACATAGGTTTTATCATCTGGTCGATGACCTTGTTGATACATTTGATTGTAACAATTTAAAGCTCTATCAGATTGACGATAAAGACCATATAGATTAAGTAATATATTGTACGAAATAATATTATGTTTAGACATTGAATGAAAAATTTTTTCAGCTTGATCGAGATTACCTAATTTACCTTAAAAGAAATATAAAACTTTTGTTTTTTTTTTTTAAACTTATTATTGTTCAAAAACTTCAACATAACGAAGAATACATTCAAGATTTATGTAAACTGACAATCGATAGAAATTTATATATGATAAATAGTTATTTCGATTTCTGTGCAGTGGAAATAAATAAAAGCAGTGCCCATATTACCTTCGATGGATATCAAAACCTTTTTTTTTTGACCATAGCTGTCACCTTTCCTGACATAGCTTCATCCGTTATCAACACTCTAGATTTGCCACTGTTTTGCTTTAAGAATTTGTGGTAGACAAACATTTTCACAAATAATTCTTAGATAAATTCTTGTAAAATTAAGCTTAAGAACACGATGTAACTACTTCTACTAAAGAAAAAAAGACTCTAACAGCATCTATTACAATTTTTGAGTTACCAAATTTCCAAATAAGCAAGTTACATTACTTGTAATTAGACAGTGAACAAAGCTTTTTCAATTCTATTTTGCAAACAGAATGAATTTTTATTAATACGAAATGTAAACATGTTTTCCTATTTGTCAAGATATTGATCATGGTATAAGTTGAATGAGAAATTCATTTAACAAATGTGTTAGATGAAGTGACGGAATCAACCTGAAAATATCACTCGACAGGATCAAGTTTTTTGGTCACAGTCACGAGTTGTGACTACTGTAACTGTGACTGTGAATAATGAAAATTGGTTTTAGTTTGGTAGGACCTCTTTACGTAAACTAGAAATCTTCTTGACAAAGGTCTAATATAGCGATTCTATAAGTACAAGCAACGAGTATGTGCTGAAGTGAAATAAAAGAAAACAAAATCAGTCTACTGTTAAAATAGCAAAATTGATTTAATCAAGTGAATAATGGGTAATTCAGCTACAAGTAGAAATATACTGTCATAGAAAAATCTAATATAATTAATTTCTCGAAACAAAACGAGAAGATACATATATCTAAAGTTTGACCTTATTTCAGCATTGTTATTGTCCAAAATATAAATTATGATTTTATTATGCGTGATGTATGTAGATCATTTATTAAATATAAAAGTTGTTACAGAAACTGGATCTATGCAAAAAAAAAACGAAGTTAATTGTGTTGTAGAACATCTGACCAGTTAACAGAAATACAGAATATGTATCTATTTTAACGGCCGTAAATTTTCGTGACCAAAGTCCAGTCACAGTTATGGCGATCCCTGCAATAGGAAGCACTGTATTTCAAGGATAATATCTCATGAAACTTCAATAGATGCTAAAAGCAGCTAAAAATTTTTCTTATGTATATTCAAAATATAAATCCATACTTTGTTTTCGGCACAGTATGTGTATTTCTGAGCGTCTCTAAATCATACGAATCTTCTGTAATAATCTCCATTCTCTTCAAATTATCATAAGAAAGTACAATATATTTCTATTTGATGAAAGTAAATAAATCTGTAACATAGAATGAAAAGAATCTATCAAAGCGAAGCAGTACTTTAGGCAAAAAGAACAGTAAATCTCAAGATCTATAAACTCGAGTATTTGTTTTTCCATTAAACAATTCCAAATATCTCAATTTTAACAATCATATTGAATAAAAAAAAACCAATTAAATAGACTTTCAATTACCGTACATGTTGATAAGTGCATTATCAATATCAATATTTGTACCAAATTTTTTAATATGATCATGAATTTGTTCACTTGTATGTAAACAACATCCATTAGCTATAGCTTGTAAAACAAGTACATAAATAATATGATCTATTTGAATATGTGAATTTTTTTTCAAACGATAATATAAATCAATTGTTTTTTGTGGTTGATATTGATGATTATAATATTTCATTAATAAACTATAATCAATAATTGTTAATTGATTTGAATTTTTTTCAAATATATCTAATGCTTGTTTTTCTTGATTAAATTTTAAATAAAAATTAAGTAATTCATTCATAAACATTTTATTATTTGAAAGAAAATGTTTTCCATTTTCATGAATTTTATAACCATCATCATATTGTTTTAATTCAGTACATGCTTGTAATATAAGTGTACAAAGAAGTGGTGATGAATATTTCATTGATGATGGAATTTTTTTTGAAAGTTCATATGTTTTTTCATATTGTCCTTGATTATTAAAACCAGTCATTAAACCACAATAATCAATTATATTACGTTCGTTCATAGATTGAAATACACGATAAGCACTATCAAGATCTTGACATTTAATATAAACATCCATTAATAATGATCGTATACGTGGATTATTATAAATATCATCATCATTATTATTAAGATTTTTTGATGAATCAATTAAATGATGAATTGTACGTATAGTTGATAAAGATTTTAATTCTTTACATATATCAAGCATTGTTAAATAAGTAACAGAATTTGGTTGAAAAGTTTTTTTTTCAATACCTATTTGAAATAATTTTAAAGCTTGTTGATAATTTCCATTTAATTGATGATTTCGTATAGTTTTATTCCATTGAATTGTATTCACATTTATACGATAAGTTCGTTTTAAAAAGAAATTTATTAACATCATCTACAAATAATTCAAATGGTATGATCAATCGTTCTTTTCTGTATTTTTACTAAAGAATAATGTCTCGTGATAGTTATCGAGAAAAAAATTAGTACATTATTTTTCAAAGTACTTTGTCGAGGATTTTCATTTTTTCTCAACAAAAAAAGAAAAATTTAATAGATTGTTTGTTTTTTCTTCTTTTAAAAATGTTTCATAAGCTGAACACATGAGGGAAAAATGGAACTAATAGATTTTTGATTATTTGTTTGTTGATTTAATTGAATGCCGATAAGGGAATAAAAACTCATGATGTATTTCATGAGAATACTTTCTTCATGAAAGATTAAGTGATAATCAGCATTACTAACAGGACAATATCTAACTAAACTATAGTGAAGATTATTATGTCTAAAGAAAATAAAAGTAAGATGAAAAAAAACAGCTTTTCACTTATTTCTTTTTTATTATGCGTATACTTGTTTTTTTTTTACTGTGAAAAAGAAATGCAATATAAAAAGAAAGACAAACACAAGTGAAACGAATGCTTCCTTAAATAATCATTATGCATGCGGAACAAGTAAAAAAAATACTTTTAAAGATATGTTTCTTCAATATTTATTTCGTTTCCACGTGATTTACCGTCATTAAATCTAACTGTTGTTGTAGCATCTTTTTTTTCTCTATGTTTTATGTTGGATGAATATGGTAATGTTGACATTGTTGTTGGTTCTGTATCATCATTATGTTTCTTTGTTTTGAGTTGTAAAGTCGGTGATGAATCACTTGGTTGTTGTTGTTGAATATTATTAAAATAAGTTTGTGTTGATGTTAATGATACTGGTTTATAAAAACGAGTTGATGATGGTGATGGTGTTGATGTAGCTGGACCAATTGATGAAGAAATATTGGATCGTGCTTCATCAATTATTGGTGATGATTGATCATCATCATAATGATCATGAAAAGTTTTATATTCAACTGTTAGAGAATTTTCATCAACCATATTAAGTTCAGTTCGTGGTGGTGGTGTTGCAGGTATAATATTTATATTTTCATTGATATTAGTTTCACTCAGAACTAAAGAATTAAAAAAAATAAAAATAAAACAAAAATACAGCAAAAAAAAATATGCAAAATAGCAAATTATAAATATTTTTTTTAATATTATACACATGAAACTTTTGATTTTTCTAAATATTATAAATATGAAAAGAAGACTTTTGCTTTTGTTTTTGAATGTACCTGTTGTATCATTTTGTTTATTTGAACGTTGACGATTTTTTATTGAACGTCTTGTTGTTGCTGTTCGTTTTTGTCGTACTATGTCCATTGTTGGTGGTAATTCTATTTCAATACCCATTGTATCGTGTTGTTCAGGTTGTTGAGTTTCAAATTCATGTAAATATTTCATTGATTCAGTCATCTAATGAATTGAAATAAAATTAACAGTAAAAAAAAAACAACAATATTATTAACACTTACTAATATAACATCAGGATACATTTCATATTCTGCACGAAGTTTTAATAAACGCATGCATTCATCTGCTTCCTTCTCTGATGCATTAAATCTAAGAAAAAATTGAAATTTTTTTTTTCTCCTAATAAAAATTTTCTTTATTACTTAAAATAAAATAATGTTCCTAACATTTCCGACATAATTCGACTTGCTACATGAATACGACGACCAGTTGGTGGTAAAATTGATTTCGTTTTTGATGATTGATCACCATTAAATGAAAAACCTTGGCCAAGTAATCTAATAAATAATATATAAGAAATGATGTATAAATGAATATTATCATATTATTTACTTTTTTGACATTTTAATATATGATCGTCGAGAATATTTATCCATGAAAGATACATTTGTACCATATTGAATAAGAAGAAACCAGAGAATTTGCTCTCTGAAAAAAGAAAATGTATTTTGTAAAAAATTTTTATTATTATATATCCGTTTAGTAAAAAAAAAACATTGGTTAGAAAGCATTAGTCAAAGGAATTCTTTTCTTTTTTTAAAGACAAACACACATGATCTACACACAAATAATGGAGATTTCTTGAGCCTATTTTCCATTCCATATCAATGCTAGATAAGAAAAATAAAACCTCATGCAATTAATTAAAAAAAAACGATGTCAAAATATAAAGCAAATAGTTAATTTTTTCTTTTCCGTCAGTCAAAAAAATATATATTTATCTTTAAAAACAAACCCCTGATAATTGATCATTAGTTTTGAACTGCTGAAATCATAATCCTAACAAAGATTCGGTTTTCTATTATTGTAATTTACCTTGTATTTCCATTAACGGAATCAAATGGACTAAAAGATTGTAAACGAATAACTTCACATTTTTGCTCATGTTTCGATATTGCATATTGAGTAAGCGGTATTGGAGCATAATGATCCTAAATTAAACAAATTTATTGATTTCATATGCAATAAAATATCAAATCGAACGTTTCATATTTTATCTATATATGTATATATGTTTAATCCAAACGCAGAAATCAATAGGATTAATAGGAATTTAAAATAAAATATTATTAAACATTTTCTTTATCAAATTAGGAGGATTTTATTGAGTGTCAGTTTCAGATTAGAAATTTAAAGAAAAGAAAGTCTTCTAACCACTAGATATTATTGAAGATCTAGAAAAGAGTTTTTATAATTTTCACAAATTCAAATATCGAACATAATGTGAAGTAGTTTCAATAATGATGAAAAACTTCTTCATGCTATTTATTAGTTTAGCTACCATCATAAGCCATATTAAAAACTATAATAGAAATATCAATTAGATATTGTTAAGTGGACTATTTCACTATATCCTTCTGTTACGTCACAAAAAGTCAAGATATCAAATTTTTTGAACATTCATTTTGGTTAAAATTTCCAATGATTGACACCTGTTTCACAAAAATATCTTATCAGAGATCAACAAATTTTTACTGTTTCGAAAGACGAATAGTTAAGAACAAATCCTCTTAGAACATGATGTGCATATTAAACAAATCAATATATGTATATACATATATATATATCAATTTATTAATTGTTCATCATTGAACATGTTATTTTCATTAATATTTATTCAATCAAATATAAATACTACTTTTGAATTAAGTTAAAATCTTTTCTTTTCTATTAAGACCAAATATTATTTCTGATATAATTTCGTTAATTTTCTTTTTTTTTTATTTGAGAGAAAATTCATTTTCTTTGTTCTATTAAAAAAAAACATCTTCAATATTAGTTTGTATATTGTTCAATTATTATGTTTTGATTGTCCTCTTTTTGATTTAATAAAGTTTTCTTTTTTTTTTTATTATTATTATTTATTGTTGTTTTAAAGTATTGTTTTTGCTGTTTTCTTTTCAGTTAGAATGTTTCCTTTTTTTGTGGTTTTCTTTGAAGATGACATTCCCATAAAACTCTATTGATAATTGATTTTTATGTCTGCTGAAAATAAAATATTAGATTATTAAAGTTTTATATATATATATATGTGTAAATTGGTTTTTCTTTGCCAGAATGAACCGAAAGACTTACAGGATTCGGTGTATGATAAATAGATGGAAGAGTCAAATTTGGAACGCCTATTTAAAGTAGTGTAAAAACATATAATCAATGATACATTAAAAAAAAATTTGTCTTCTTCGTTTTTTTTAGAACACTTACGAAATTCATAGGTTTTTTCATTATTTCCATCATCCGTCACACTCTATAGGATAGATCAAAACAAAAATGAATATTTCTGTTTTATGTCAATTATTGATTAGAAAAACATATTAGACTATTATGATTAATAAAATCGTCGTCGATGACCTATGTTGGCTATTCAGTAGTAGAGCTACTGATACAGATTAGTTTATGACAACTGTTATCAATAGCTAACTACCGTTTAGACAATGTCTTGACCTTTTTTTTTTATGTTAATTACGTATGTATCATTATACTTACTAGATTGTAAAGGCCGACAAGGAAAGTATCAATTGTTGAACAAACATCCTATAAGCAAAGAGTAAGACACATCGAATGATGAAGAAAAAAAAATGATGAAGCGACGTGCTTATACTCTCTCTTTTTTTTTTTTAATAACGATAATCAGGCGGTAAGAGAAAAGATAGAAAAAGAAAAAGAAAGAAAAGAAAGCCGCTCATCTCCTACTACTGCAGCCGGATTATTCATGCTAGGATGCTGTCAAAAAGGAGGAACGACAATGGTGATGATGATAATGATGCTGTGGCTGTCGACTCCAGGCAAAGACGCATTATGAATTTAGCTTGTGTGTGTGCTCATGATGGGGATGAAAAGCGAAATTAGCTTTGTTTGACATGTTTCAAATTTAACTCTTTATCTTTCTCGTTTCTTTCATTTCCGCTTTTACCTTATTGTTCTCTTAATGAAAAAAAACTTTTTAACCTATTATCATCGCACGATGAAATCTTCATGTTTTTTTTTGCTTCTTGTCATGTCTTACTTCGACGATTTATTATTGTTAAAACAACGATGTCGATATATTTTTTTAATTAGATTTTAATATTGGAAGCTTTAGCAAAGATCGGCGCTTTAGTTTTAGGTTTACATTTTATGAAATGAAAAACTGGAAAAGAAAAAGTAAAGTCGTCTTTAAGACTTTGCTTGTCTATTCAAGAGAAGTATGGCATGCACTTTCACACAAACTCCATCTGTTTTTCTCTATCTCATTTTCTCTCCTCTCTCAATTTGTGTAAAAGGCTTCCTGTTCTTCTCTTATATATATATATACTGATGGGAAGGATGTATGTATGTTACCCAGTCATTAGATGAATGAACGATGATAATGAGCGAGTATCATGGCACTCTATCTATTTTTACCTTAGTTGTAGTATCAATTGATTCTAGATGACGATGATGATAAAGAACATCATAATAGGTTATGACGAATGACGGAAGAAATTGAAGTACGAATAGCCGATGTTGTACATTATGATAAAGTGAAAAAAGATGATCACAAATCGATGACACATACTAAAGACATATAATACTATTAATATCACGTATAGTTATTGATACATACATTTGAAGGTTCTTCAGTTATAGCTAAATGAATTTTAGCATTGAGCTTTGGATTGTGGTTCAAAGTTGATGACACTTTCTCATCCTGAAAAAAAAAGAAGAAGAAGAAGAAGAATGCTTTTCACATCTTTTCCCTTTTTTCTTCTCTTTTGATTTCCGATGCATTCCCCTTACTTAAATATAGAGATACCACGCACACATATGAACGATGAGACGAGTAAAAAAAAAAAGAAGAAGGTGAAAGCTAGTCGTGCGAACAAACTTCTTTCTTTCATTTCTTTATTCTTTCTGTGAGCATCACCTGTCAGAAACAATGTGTGCGTGCGAACATAATCTTTGTCGCCTAACTCAGCACGTCTATCTCGTTCACGTTTTAATCTTTTGACTGACGAGCAAGATGTCTTATTTTTCCTTTAACGTAATTTTATTGCTCTATTCTCTTTTTCTATATTACATATGGATTATGCTACTTTGGACTTGAATGAATAAATAAATGAACGAATGAAAGCAAGCGAAAAGATGACGAATGTGAGAAGTCCTTTCATAATTGATTTGAATAGTTCATGCAAAGATATGAGTTAAAGTGTGTAACCAAGCACAGAAGGGAGATGATAAATGCCGTAGTTTGGAAACGCTTTGTTCATCATTTACTCTGAAATCTTATGCTTCTCAAAAATTTTAAAAAAAAAATTGTTACTTAGAAGAATAAAAAAAGAAAAGCATAAGACTAGAAAAAAAGATTTGCGTCTTCAACAGAAGACAAAAGGAAGATGAGGAGGAGAAGAAGGAAAAAGATCAACTCTCCCCGTTACTTTCTCAAACTACTCGTTTTTCATGATTAATATACAAAGATGCACATATAGTATAGCGAAAGGATAGAAGTAAGGAGGGCAAGAGCAGAAAGATGTTCTCTCCTTGCATTTCTTTAGCGACGCTGTCAGAAGCAGAAAATTGAGAAAGATTATAAATCACACATAGTATCTTCTTGATTACTAACACGCAATTCTATTCATGAGAATCAGGCGAAAGAGCACTTTGCAATTTTGAAATATTAGCTTCATTAGCACCTCATTTATCCATAGAGGAAGAGAAAATTACCTGAGACGTAGTAGGACATCATTAAAAATTCAAAAAAAAAAAATTTCTTCACAAACAGATACATACTTCAAATGAAGTAAACCAATCATGAATAATTTTAAAATTATTGGACATTGATCCATTGGAATAAACATTATCACTATTTCTAATGGTTGCTGCCATTATTTTATTGGAAAAATTAAACAATCTAAAAAGTACAAAAAAGAAATACTATTTTATAAAATTTCATGAATACTTTTCAATCAATTGTTGATGAATATGAAACTAACATATGTATTAATATTTGAGATTAAGATTTTAACCATCATCAAATAAAAAAAATGAATCTATATTTAATTCAATATGGTTCTACATTATTATACAAAATAAAATAGTAGACATGTTTTTAAAATTTTATTTTTTTTACATTTATTCAAAAGAAAAAGAACAGTAAATTCAATTGTTCTTAAAAATTAATTACATCATAATCGTTAGAAAATCTAGAAAATAAAAAAGATCATTATGATTATACAAATAAATTCAGCCAAGAATAAAAAAAAAAAAGTGAGAATATTAATAATAATTTATGATTGGTTTATTTACTTACCAAAGATAGTTTTTCATAGACTTTTTTTTCTTTTCTATTTATGTAGGAGGTCGCTATTTTCCATGAAATTTTTTTTTCCTTAAAGCACATTTGACGTTTGAATAAAAACTCAAAGTTTATTTTTAGTTCATTTTGAACGCTTAACAACCGAATGTCTCTTCCAAGAAATATTCTCTATCTTTATAAGAAAAAAGTTTATCTTTTTTTTAATTATAATATGATTATACTGACGAGAAAATATTCTCAAATAATCCGTTTCGTTTATACTCATATTTTGCCAATATGTAGGAGATCACTAGAGTAGAATAGCCTCCACAAGCTTTTAGATGTGATCGATATGGCGACTTTTTAGTAGATTTCTCTCGCAGGAGTCTAGTTTTCGAAAAAATTATATTTCAGAATTTCGACTTGAAACATTGTACAGATAAAGATCTTGATTAGACTATTTCATATACAAAGTTTCATCATTTGTGGACATTGTAGTGTTAAGATATGAATTTTTCAATAGATCTCTATCTGACACAGAACTTAAAGAAAAGCATAGATATATTGAGAAATCCATAATTTATGAATACGATATCCAAAACTGTTGAAACTTTGTATATGAAATATTCTAATTGAGATCTTCATAGGTACAAAATTTCAGGTCGAAATTTCGAGATATATATTTTTTTTTTTCGAAAACTAGACTCTTTCCAGATAAATCTATTAAAAAGTTGCTATCTCGACCAAATCTAACTAACAGCAGAAAACCTCTAAGGGTTATCTTATTAATTAATCCCAGTTTACTATTTAGCTGAAAAGGTCAAAGAAATTATGTTCTTTTTTTTTTTAGGAATCATCAGATTAAAAAAAAAAAGATGCTTGTAATCCATTAATCTTTTTGTTCGTTATAAAGATTATAATTAACAATAACTAGTAGCGTTATAATCAGTTAAATGTCGAATCCAATTCGACTTTAATATATAAAATTAGAATTGAGTCCCTTTTCATTACGCGAATTAAGATCAATTCAAGAAATATTTCATTTCATTGATAGATTTTTTTTTTCTATTTTGTCAACAACTTCTTGGCATAATTAGTTTAGAATATCAATAAGTATAGATAGTTGACTAAAATTTAATAAACAAGAATGACATATAGCAATATAAAGTATGTTACTTTAAAATAATAACATTAGACGAAAAGATAAAATATAATAACAGAAAAAAGAAACAACGATAATATAAATAAAATAGATCATGATGTATTTTGACTATTACTAACAATAGAGTAAATAGAAACTTTTTTTTATCTATAGTTTTGCTGATCTCTTTATTTTAATCGTTTGATATCAACAAACGTTTTTACATACTGATCTATGTAATGAATAATTCTTCGTTTTCAAAAAGGATATTATTTCTTTGATGGATTTTTATTCTATTGATTTTATACCTATTTTACAAATACTATATTAAAAGCGTAATCCTTCTTCAATTCTTTGAGTATGATATATACAAGCTCGGATTAATCGTAACAATATTTGATTTCAATCGATAATACCAATCTTCTATATCATTATTGATTCAAATCCCATGAAAAACATAACCATTTTAAAAGTATATGAAAATACATCATCATGATTAATTTAAATGTCAATGTAATAGTCAGGAAATTCATTCTCACTCTTCAAGTATTCGAGCATTTCATTCTATTTTTTAAAGTAATTTAGTAAAAATATGTTAATCAAACTGATAAATAAGTTGATTATAGTTTTTTGGCTGAATAGAAAAACAAATTGTCGATAAAATAAGAAGAAAAAAAATGCATATTGATGTAGTAGCAAAATATTGTTGTCAACAAAATAGAATGATAGCTAGTATTACATAATATTATAATTGATACTTCTCGTGATCGATTTGAGTGTAATTTTCTACGTCGAAGATATCATCATACTCTTTAACCTACCATTGAAAACTCATTTGAAGAACATATGTGTTTAAATATACAAACAATTTACTGATTATAACGGCGAAAACAATAGCTATTACTAGACTGATCGATATGCCTTATTGCTTGATTAGAAAGTCTAACAATAATCCAATTCTTTTTCTATTATTTTTCAGTCTTGTTTATGTCAATGATTATCGAATTGAGTTAGCCTAGTCTATAGACAGATAGATATAGAAATAATTCTTTTATACACAAACGAGTTTGCCGATAGATGTGGACTTGTTATTGATGACTCTTTTATTTCATTTATCTTATAAAAACCACACATTTGTACTTGTAAATCTACAAAAGACATTTACTAACTGTAAACTACATAATAAAAAAATTTCGGTCAAAGAAAAAGAAAACTTTTTTCTCGTTTTTACTGTGACATCAATTTTCATTACAATCCTTACAGTTATTACTTATTATTATTATTTATATCATAGCAAAAAGGAAAAAAAAATTTCAATTACCTTATAGATTATTTTAATTTTTTGTTTATCATATTCATTCGTTTTTTTTTGCTTTACTTTAACAATTAGATAATAAAAATAAAAGACTCAATTATCGCTCACCGGGCTTGCGATGAAGCACATCGGCATCGCATTATACATTCAGCTATACAATGACAATAGAATATGAAACTCAGCACATAAAAAGAAAAAAAAACTCGATAAGAAATCACAGTAGGCTTCTATTTTTTTTTTATGTAACTGCACTCATCACATACAACTCAAAAAATAGATGCTAATAGTAAAATAAAGATAAACAATTGTCAGTAAAATTTGTTTATTTAAAGGCAAGAGTTACGTTTTGATGATGAACTATTTTCTGCACCACTTAAGTTTCCATTGGATGCTTCAAGGACAATATTTCCAGGACTACGATTATTTTTATTTAGGATTTGTCTTTCATTAATGCTTGATATCGATCGAATAACTTTATGGTTTCTAAGTCGTCTCATATTTGAGCTTGTTCTTTGTGATTCACCACTTGGTGTTGCTGGTGGTAATGCAACTGAACTACCTGTACTTGCACGACGTTTTCGACAACAGACAAAATATCGGCTAAGAGTTTTTTTAAAAGCTACACGAAAGTTTCTATTATGAAAAGCATATAAAAATCTGAAAAAAATAAAAAAATAAAAATCGAATATCTTGTTTGAAAAGCTTTTTTTTATTATTTAACTTACGGATTAATCATTGAATTAAAATAACCAACCCAAAAAACAATATCTGCAATAAGTGGTCCAATTTTCCAATTACAACGATTTGGTTCACATGCTGTATAACGAACAAAAAATGGAAGCCAACATATGATAAAAGCTACCATAATTGAACCTAAAGTTTTAACAGCTCGACGTTCACGTCTTAAATGTTTCATTTGAGTATTGCGTGTTTCACTTATACTACCATGAAAATCAACAGATGATTGTCGACCTGCTACTGTATCAAGACTATCATGTTTTCCTTCACGACGAAGATTATGTGAATGTCCATTACTTATTTTTGTTATTGATAATTGATTACTACGTTGTAATTGTTGTGTCATTGGTGTTGTTTCAGTAATTATATGATCTTCACTTGATCGTCGACGAGTAGAATATTGATTTAATTGTGATGCACGTCGACGTTGAGCAACAGCATCCATTATTTCATATGCTTCACGTTCTTTTTTATCAGCTATTCGTATTAACATAGCATACATTATAATCATAATAGCACCTGGAACCCAAAATGAAAATGATGATGATATAATAGCATATGCTTGATTAACAGCAAATATACAACGACCAGGAACATAATTTAAACAATCAATTTTATGTCGTTGTTCACGTGTTGTATATACACCAGTAAATATTGGTATAAACGAGAGTAAACCTGATACAAACCAACAAAAGAATATCATTATATAACGTCGTCGGTCTGATGATGTATTTTCATACTCAAATGGACGCACTATAGATAAATAACGATCAAGTGATATACAAGCTAAATGTATTATGGATGCTGTTGAAAATAGAACATCACATGAAAACCATAAACGACACATGAACTACAATAAAATACTATCGTAATAGATTTTCATTTATGAATTACTATGATATTTACGAAAATTCTTTGCATAGTTCTTCTTTTTTTTTTTATTTGAATGTATAATTATTCTAAGAAATATTTAATACATTCTGCAATGTTTGTTTTCTTTTTTTGAGAATTTTTAAGCAAACATAGAATCACGTGTATTTTTAGTTTTCAATCGTTTTGATTGTATAAATATCTATGACTTAAAATAACATTTTTCAATCTTGAAGAAAACGAAACATCATCTTATTTTGATGAATTTCTTCACATTCAGACATTTCGTATAAAGCAAAAAATAACAATCATCGATCTCAATAAATGAAGGAAAAAAATTTATTATTGACTGCTTCGCTACTAGAAGCATTTATTTCACTCATTTATGTACACAAATGTTTCGTAAATAGAATACTAAATAGTTTAACTTGCTGAGCTCGCAATATGAAAGAAAACTATATACATCTTCAGGGAATTAACATTCATTGATCACATGAATTAACTTACCGCGCCAAAAAGCCATCTTC